AAAAAAAGAAAGAAATATATTTTGGGTAGAAAAGTCCACTTTTCTTGCAAGTCTTTGGTGAACTGTGATTAGGATAGCTAAGAAATGCAGCCCAAAAAATTGGTGGCAGAGGCAGAGTGCAGGGTGGGCAGGCAGAGTGATGATGAAGGGACATTGTGCTCCCAGGGGACAGCCAGGGAGGTGGCAGAGGAAATGACGGGGCTGCGGGCACGTGTTTGGGGAAGCGTGTCCGGCTGCGCCTCCCTCCCTGCTCTGCTGGGAAAGGCAAAGGGAGAGAGAGATGCTGGGCATCCTCCTTAAATCCCTGCTGTTGTCCCTGCCACAGCCCGAACGTGGGAGGGGAAGGCACGGAAAAATCTCATTTCCCATGTGTGCACAGTGCCCCCCTTGCCTTCTCACCAGCTCTCATCTTCCCTTTCATCCTGTCCCTTCACCCCTTCCTTTTCTCTCTCCTGCTGAATGGAGCTATTTAGTGGTGTACCCTCCTTTGCAGAAGCTGTTTCATCCCTGCTTGCACAGTTTTTAAAACTGCTTTCTCCACCCACCCTCAGTCTTGGTTTTTCATCTGTGCTGCTTCTTTAGGTTAACCATCTTTACAAAAGGAAAAGGCAGAGGAATCCAGAAACACCCTGAGTTTGGTTGCCATTACTCCAGCCTTTCCTCTTATCTTTTGTCTCCTCCTAATTTCATTATTATCACTGCTGTTATTATTATAATAGCACTAGAAATGAGCTTCCTCATTAAACACTCCCTTTTTGCCATTCTGAATACCACTGTAGAAGCCGGAGGGGGGAGGAAGGGGGACTCAGAGAGTCCTTTTGCTGTTACTGCAGAATGAGACTCACACAAGGAACAAATGTAGTCCATCTCAAAAGCAAATGAGAATTGTTTGGGGTTTTTTATCAGCACTGAAGAAAACTGTCAAATAGACTCGTTTCAACTACCCCTCAATGCCTTAGTCATGAAAACATACGGCATCTATTAAAGCATACAAAAATACCCTTAGGGATGGTTCTGGATCAGCCTGGTCCAGAGCATCCTGGCTGTGACCACAAGGAATGGCTCATCCCTTGGGCTCACCCCCTGCAGCACCCAGACATGGCAAAGGAGGGAATTGGCACCTTTAACAGAATTTCTTTGTATTTTATATTTTCAGGCCAGAAACAGAATGTGGTACATTAGCATTGATTCTGTGGTTTCATACCATTTGTTTTAGAGTAGTACAGAAAGAAAGGGAAAAAAAGCAGAAAGGAAAATATATCATCCCTTATATACATTCAAAGCATACACAGCAACAGTTCCTTCAGCACTGGGTGCACTGTGAGTGGGTATTGATATTAGCAGCAAGAGAATGCATATTAGAGATCTGTAACACTGGTACTGCTAACCAGCTCAGGGAAGGTAGTGCTTTTGCTTGCCTTTCACCCTGTCTTGTGTGCAAAAAGACAGTTAAATAAAAAAAAATTTAAAAAAATTAATTACCTAATTATAAAAGGGAGATTAGTCCTATTAAGTGGAACATCACAAAGGGAAAATTTAAAATATTTCCCTTACTTTGATATTCCCCAAGCATTTCATGGACAAAACACTGTTCACAACTCACCCCAAAAGCATCTTTTTTTTTTTTTCTTTTTTTTTGTCCTTTTGTATTTTGGAACCATTCAATAGGCCATAATAAGGCAGCAAAAGAGAGGGAGTAACTTATCTCTGGGCAGTTGTTGAACATGAAATTTGGAAGACAGAATTTGGGAAAATCTGTCCCTGCAGTTGCTCTAAATGCAGTACAAATATAATAATTCTCATATACACCAATGCAAGTAGCCTGGAGCAGGATGAATAACTGGATTTGCAATAGCTGGATTGAAATGACATACAGGTTCTTTTATTTCTTTATTGCCCACATATATTTCATGTAAATTTCCAGCCTGGATGTGGGCACCCTGTGGAGTGCCTTCATGCCATGTAACAGTAGTGACACCCTCTTTTCTCCAATAAATATTCAGAGGGTGTCAAGATCTCCAGAAATCCTCTGGGGATCACCAGGAGGTTGTTTCTAGAAGGGATTATCCTTAGAAAAGATTTCTGCATGAGGGTTTTGAAAGACATCCTTTAATAAGTGCTGTGCTCTCCGTGGAGGGATCCATCCATCATCCTGCTCAGGGTGGCAAGCCATTGGTGGCCATCACCTCTCTCCAGGAGAAATGGCAACAGGCAAACCCCAAATCAGCTCTCACTCAAGAAATCACTGCACCTTCAAAGAAAAATGCTCCGTTCCATTTACTTGGGCTGTCAATGTGAGATGCATGGAGCACAGAGGTGAATAAATTCCAAAGGCAGAATTGCTCAAATCTTTGCAAACGTAGCTGGAGGTTGCTAACACCAATAAACAGCAGGGATGACTCCAGAGGGGTGCAGTCACTCGTGTGTTTCAAATACAACCCACAAAAATGCTAAAAATACACGGAAATACAACCACGGGATGATTGTTTGTTAGATTTTGGTATCAGGCTTGTCTCAGGTTCACAGGGGCAAAACCATGACTGCACCAACACATTTCCTGATAGCAACAGGGGGTCATTATCAAAATAAATCCAGTTCATATTTTGTTTTACCATATGCAGACAGTATTTTAACAACATTGGTTGATTTTGGAAGCTTCCTGGCAAGTGGCTGTAACCAAGTGCTGCCTGGGGGCTTGGGGAACACATAGCCCAGTCCAAAGTTAGAGAGCCAATTTTTCACAGTTAAATTCCCTATTGATTTCAGAGAAGGGTTTAATGGGGAAAGTAAATATAGCTGGGCCCACAGTTAGCATGGCATAAAGTACTTTTGCTTCAAGCATGGTCAGGAACCCAAAGAGAGGAGGGTCTCTGCACCTTCCCTCTGCCCCTCCTGTTAGGTTTGTACATGCACACTCAGCTCCTCAGGTCACTTGGGAGTTTCAGGATGGATCAGGCCCTTGTGGGCTTGAGGCACAGAGAGAGAAATGTGCATTTGTTTAAAGAGAGAAAAGCCTGGGTTTAACAGTGCTTGTTTGTTTGAAAGCTGTGGGTGAATTTGCAGTGGCTCTAGGAAAAAAAAAGCAGTTGTTTTTCATTAAATTTTCTGTGACACTGTCCTCCCCCAGTACATAATCGCATTGCTTTCACAGATGACATTATAGTCTCACTGAGTAAAAATTTTGATTAAGATGTTATTTTCATGTTTCATAATGCATGGTATGAGTTGTACCAAATAGAGGAAAATAAGTTCTGACTCCTTAAAAATAGTTTCAGTCAGAAAAGAAACACAAAATTCACTCTTTGCATTTAAAATTAATGGCTAAAACCTGCTATGCAAGAAAACAAATTATTTCTTCTGTGCCTGTTTTTCTGCTTTATAATCCTGCTGTACCCTTGTAAGAATAGATAGCACTTTAATGCAATGAAAAAGGAAAAAAAAACCTGTGTTACATTAAAATACATGTAAAATTTTGGAATTGCTCCTCTCTTGGTGGTAACCTGAGGATAGAGAAACATGTACAAAGCATAGAAATGTCACCCAGTTCATTATCCATAACATTTTATTTACATGTAATGCTGTAGGAAGGAAATTTTAAGATGCTCTGTCTGATGTTATAAAACTCCCTCATCGTCAATTAGTGTGAGAGGAGCTGCTGAAAAGATCAATCGTTTGCTTGTTCACATTCTGGAATGAAAAATCCAAAATACAAGGAAAGGAAGCCTTTATTTAAGGGCAGTCAGATAAAACAGCTGTGGGATTCTACATTATGAAATCACTGCTTATATCCATCAATGCCATTTTTCAGTCCATGGTAAGGAGGGTACATTTGCCTCCAGCCTCTGCAGAGGTTTTGGGGTTGTTTTGTTAGTGAAGGCTGGTGCTAGAAGGGAGGGACACGAGCTGGGCTTTGCCAGCACTTTACTACAGGACCCAGAAGGGTGCTCTGAAAACTCTCTGTCCTACCCTGACAGTGGTTTTGCTCTTGAGATTCACCACTGAGACCCAAATAATTGCTTTTGCTCTTCTCCGTTCAACATGGCACCACAGGGCACAAAACAAGGGGGTCTTTGCTCTTGGCATAGCTCAAAACAAGCATAAAAGTGGTTAATGCAAGTAAAAACCCTTTAATTTAGCACCTTTTTTTTGTTTGTTTTTTAATATTAGAGAAAATTCTGATGAGCACATTTTGGCAGTGTTTCACTTGTTTGGGTTTTGTTGGTTGTTTTTTGTTAGTGAGTCTTAACAATATCATCGATTTTGGTAAAAAATTCTTTTAGGGGTTATAATGCAGTTTTTATGGATCTTACAGCAACTAACAAGTGAGCTGTACTTAAAAATCCTCAGAAATCCTGTCCTAGTGACACAGTCAAAACTTCAGCCTTTCTGAGGTGCTCTGGCTCCTTGTTGTACTGACGTCCAGTTACAGGTAGCACATTAACAAAAATAGAATTCCAGTGTCATGCTTCATATCTTCAGCAACATGATGGACGTGAATGTGTGCTAATTACAATGGGAAGCCACCTGGGTAATTTTAAGCTTTCTATTTTACGTGGCTTCTTAGCTCCTCGACTTTTCATTTCAACACTCAGCATGAAGAGAGAGGTTAAACTGTTGCATTTTGTATACAGGGAACCATTCATGTAATATACACCAGTCTGTAAAAACTGTAAATGCTATTTTTTTTTTTATTTTAAACAGTTTTCTTAGTTTACAAAAGATCAATAATTGGTACCTTTTTTACACTCTCAGATTCCTGAATATTGACAGATCTTCAAAGGGAGTATTAGCATATGAAACCTTAAGATTGGCTGTCCTGAAGGTTTTTAAGACACGATAAAGCTAAAATATCAAGTCTCTCGGACAGCCCCTCTTAAACAATTTGGGCAGGGGTGCACATCAGAAATCACCAGCAAAGCCCAGCAACCCCCCCCACCCCGTGCCACTGTCTGCCTGCACGCTGTTATTTGGTTGCACACTGTTTAAATCCCAAAGGAAAATCACACCTCGCATTCCCTCGCTGGCTGCTGGTGACAGGAGCAAGATCCGTACTCATTAATGATCACCAGGGCTCCCTCAATGTGGTTGGGTTTGTAATCAACATAATACTCCTGGGCTGACATGGCAGCCATTTGGTGCATGGTCTGTTTTTGCTTCTGCTTCCTGCGCTGTGTGACAAAGCACTGTCTTAGTTGCCTTAAGCCGGCTGGGAAGCACTTCCAGGAGACATACAACACCAAAACCACGATGAGGAAGGAAAAAATCAGTGCCATGGTGCCCGTCACCACCTTGTGAATCTGCACGGCGTTCTCGGAGTTCTCACCGGGCATGGTGATGGTGACGGCGTACGTGGTCCGGTCCTCGTCGCCGTCGGGCGCGTCGTAGGTGGCGGTGGCCGAGCCATAGCCCAGCGTCTGCTCGCTGTTGTTGGTCACCGGGGAGAAGGTGTTGACGCTCGTGGGGTCGGCGTCCTCGCACAAGTGGAAGGCGTACACGGCGTCCAAAACATCCTCTCCCTGGGCGTACTCGGGGGTGGCACAGAGCAGGTTGCTGTCGTAGCGACCCTGGAAGTTGCTCAGCCAGGAGGCCAGGGCGCAGACGTTCCGGCTGCAGTCCCAGGCGTTGGCGGAGAGGCTGATGCTCGTGAGGGACTTCCAGGAGTCGAGGACTCGGGAGTCGATGTAGGTCAGCCGGTTGGAGTCCAGCTGCAGGGATTTGAGATGAGGTACACTTTCGAAAACGTGAGGTTCGATGTATTCGATTTCGTTGCCGGAGAGATCCATCTTTTCGAGTTGCCATATCCAGTCCAAAGTGTTTACTACAATGGTAACTTTATTCCTTCGCAAGCAGAGGGAGTGCAGGGAGATGAGCCTGGGAAAATGGGCTAAATTCACTTTCACCAAGTCATTGTGCTCGAGGTGCAGCTCAGTGAGTTTGAACAAGCCAGCAAAAGAGTTTCGAGCCAGGCTCTTTAACTGATTGTATCCTATGTCTAGAAACTTCAGGCTGCGACAGTCCTGAAAAATTCTCACCGGCACGAACTTGATGGCGTTCGACCGCATGTGCAAAGTTGTCAGTTTTCTCAGCCCGTGGAACAGGTCAGGCTCCAAAGACTGCAGGTTGTTGTATGATAAATCCACACTGCGCAAGTTTGGCATGGGGCGGAAAGTGGTGTTGGGCAGTTGGGTTATTTTGTTGGAACTCAGGGTGAGCTCTTTAACTCGCCGCAATTTTTGAAAGGCATTCCCCTCCACTGAGCAAATGTGATTGTGATCCAGATAGAGCCACGTGAGCTGCATTAACCCTGTGAACTGTCCATCATGCAGCTCTGAAAGGCTGTTGTACCGCAGAGACAAGCCCATCATGCCCGACAGGTTGCGAGGCATCTCTGTGAGATTCAGTGATTCACAGTACAAAAGCCTGCCCTCACACCGACAGAGCTGTGGACACCCACTATTCACAGCTGGAAGCATTTTAGAAAAGATACCCAGCGTACACAATATCAACCCCGGGGGCTTCCTCAGCAGCCAGTTTAAACAGAGACCAATAAGAAGGAAATCCATTAGCAAGAATATTTCCAAATATGCTTGAGAATGTCCATTGAGTCTTTTCAAATTCTACATCATATTTTATTTAAGGGAGAAAAAAAAAACCAAAAAGGCAAACCAACGAAACAAAGCCCGAAAACCAAAGCAAAACAGCAAACAGAACAAACACAGAGGCAAATATTTCACTTTATAGCATGCAGGAGCTGTGCAGCATTAAAGTTCACAGACATTCAAAGGTAAAATGATAGTGATTTTGTTCATGTTAAATGCTGCAGCAAAGGAAAAAAAAAAAATCTTTCTTCATGAAAGAATTTAATTAAAAAGTGTCTTACCCACCCTTTTCCAGAGAGTGACAACCTCCATTCAGTTGCTTCCTTTGTGTTTGGACTAATTATATGCAGAGCTAAAAAAGACCCCTCTGTGCTACAAATTCAGTCCCTTTCAATGTTGTGCAAGGCTGGCAAGCTCACAATGTCTCACTTCGCTTCTGCTCAACGAGCGAAAGGCTTGTCCAGCTAGCTTTTGAGCTGCCTCCTAGGACCTGCAAGTTTCAGAACTATGTACATGAGCTTGATCTTCTCCTTCTCCCTCTGTCCTTTCCTCTGCAGTTAACACTGTGGCGTGAAAAAAACTCCAAACTCTTTACTAACGACTCCACAGGATTTGTCAATCTGTTTAATGTCCATCATTTGCAACGACCATGGACCGGCACAACCTTTACTCCAGAGAGAGGTTACCATTCATTCACAGACCGGCTAAGGGTCGCTTTATTTCCCATTCTTTGTTCGCTTTGCTTGTTAGGTGATGCTTAGAGCAGAGAGAGACAGCAAGAATCCCTTCCCTTCAGCTGAGCAGTATGTTGCTAGAGCATGCAGAGGCACCCAGTGTTCACTGAGTGTCGTAAGCTGCTCATGATTGTACGCCTGCACTGTGCATCTCAGACATGGGCAGATTGAAAAGGGGTGGGCATAAAACCAACATCGGAGCGAACCAGGAAAGTAATATATGCTCTTTGATGAAATGGAAAATACTTTAAGCCTATCTCGCCATTTCTCAAACAGGCACGCACACACAGCCGCACAAATCATCAAAAGCGAGGCAGTGCTAAGTAGGAAGCTTGAGAATTAGGATTCTTTCTGTTTTTTTGTTGGTTTTTTTTTTTTTTTCTCGGATGCTTTTGTTTAAAGTCTGAATTTATAAGCTATTAGCCGGGAGAGGGAGAGACTCCATCACTTGGTTTGGGAAGGAATATGTAAACCAGTTTTTTTTGATTGCTTTTTCTCTCTAATTCTGATGATGAGATTTGCCTTTTGGTCTTTGGGTGGGAGATTGAGGGGTGTGGGGGGGGAAAATGTGGGGTTTTTTTCTTCTGACATTGTCTAAATAGAGCATGATTTGAAATTCTGTGCATTCTTTCTCCTAGAAATGCAGCCAGAGCTCTGCAAATAGGAATGTCTCATTTCATATAAGCTTTAATTACATTTGGTCTTTTTCCATCCTGCATATTTTGTGTGTTCAGCACATGCCTTTCCTAAAGGCTTTTTTTTTTTTTTCCTTTTTCTTTGCAGTGTATGCTACGGCACACAGAACTCAAATTCTAGCAGCATAAAGATTACTGTGCTTTTTGAATGAGATCAATGCATAGGTTGCTGTGAGCGTGTCGGCAGCATGCAAAGAGGGGGTTTCAAACCCCATTACTTAATAAGTTGAGCAGATCGTGCTGGTTTTTGTTCCGTGTTCCAAGAAAAAAAAAAAAATCTTTTGCTGGGTATTTTGCAGTCCTTGTTCTCCATGGGAAAGGCATCGTCAATGAGCTCTGTAATTTTTACTGACTGAAAAACGTATGGTATTTCTGTCAGGAAAACACTGGCCATCTTTTCCTATTATGAAATAGAATCTCAAGCCCCTGTGCTGGTGAGAGCGATCGGAGCTGACAGCTCCCAATTCTGCATCAATACCCAATGAAGAAGTTCCACATGGATTTTAGGATGCAAGGATTGCAGAGGATCGGGCTGATTTTAAGTGGACATCGGATGCAAAATGCTGGAGGGACAGGGCAAAACCACTGTGTTTGCTTTCTTTTTCACAGCTATGTTAATTTAAAAGAAATTCCTTGTTTTGGAGGTGTCTGTTGCAGAGCTAAACATTGTGTTTGAGTGTGGCTGCTGTGAGTGTGTGCTGGGAGAGATCAAGGAATGCAGTAATTTGATGCAGTAAAAGTTGCTTTGCAGAAGTCCTGGCAAACTTAAAGCTCTTGTGCATAAAAATAAAAATGTGTGAAGGAGATTCATTACTAATGGATTTGCCAGAAACAGTCTTAAATAAATTACAAATATAAACCATTTAAATTGTGGTTTTGGAACCTGGGGATCAATGTGCTTTTATGCTCCCTGTTGAGTTTATTTACATTTTTCTGCTCTTCACAACATTTCAGTGGTCTCAAAGCAAAAATGTGATGCTTTAATAGTATATGAACCTCATCTATGTTTTAGCATTTGGGCAGGAGAGCTGAAGGTGGTTTTCTTCTCCCCAGATCATGCAGTTTTATTCAAAGCAGGCTGTTTATGCAAGTGTCCACTGGTTGCAGTATACCTTAATTCTGTTTCTCGGTACACAAAAGCAGGAGGGAAAGCAGTGACAGAACCAACAGAAAAAGCATTGAAGCAGGAGAGACTACAAAACCCCATCCAAGAATATATTCCAGATTGCCTTGATGAATATTTTCGTGCAATTAGCAGGGGAAAAAAAAATAAAGGATGACTTGAACTTCACAGATATTGAAAAAAGCTTCAAAGCAATGAGGTTGTGTCCCTTAAAAATCTTCAACCCTACAAGTCTTCTTAGAGGAAGCCTTAATGCCTTCTCCCATGTAAAAATTTGGGGAGAAGTCTGCAACAGTAGCCCTGAAAATTTCAATTATATCTTCAAGGAAAGCAACCATTTTCTGCAAATCAGATGATGATAAGGATCACTTAGTTACCATTTAAATGCTATGTATAAAGACTTCTTCTAGTAGAGATGAAGCTCCCTGATACATCACTGAAGAGCTGAATTTTTTTTTTTCACTGCTTCTCCTTGTTATCACCTGGGATACAGCTTGGATCCCAACCAATGTGCCTATTCCCACTCTGGCATATAATCCATTATCATTTGGTTTTCAAAGGCAGGAATTAGAGCAGACAGTAGCAAACCTATATAGCAGCAGCTGGAAGACTGACAACCAGAATTAGGGACCCAGAATTAATGGCCCTAAGTGCACTCTCTCAGAGCTCTGACAGAGGGCTATTGAATAAGAAACTCTGCTCTTATCCAAAATTTGGTTGTAAAAAAGAATCCAGGTAGTTTTAAGATGAGAGACTTCAGTGTATGTTTGAGGCTCTGATGTTGAGGCACAGTAGTGACCGAATTCAAGAACTGGGGCGTCTGAAATATCTTTTGTAAATTGGTGTCCTACTGTATTTTTGCAATGTACCCTTTTTGCAATCAAACCAAAAATCCACTTTGAAGATGATTGTAATGTAAAGGACTTAATTTCCACTGTCTGAGCTGTTATCACAGCCAAACTGTTAAGTTTACACATTTTCTGAAGTTTCAAAGCCTCTGGCAAGTCTCTATAAATTAGCAGATTTAAATTAGCTTTATTAAATGTGCTATTATAAAACATTTTAAGAATGGCAAACTAAGTTTGTATGTGTTTAAAGGAGCTTGATTAAATCAATGTAATGTAGGTTACAGAAGAACAACATGAATAAAGTTTTAGAAAGTTTAGGTGGGAATCTCCTTCTTGTAGTCATGACAAGGATAATTCATTGGCAGCAATGGTCAGAATTGTTCAGTCTGGAAAGGAAAAGCAGCTTTCAATGTGTTTGCTCTACACATTTATAATATTGCATTCAGATTAATCATAGAATCATCAAGATTGGAAAAGACCTTTAAAATCATCCAGTCCAACCATTAAATGTCCCATATAACTTAACTGGCCTCAGAATCATTTAATTCTTTCTAATCCCTTGGATATTCCTTTGCTGTTTGTGCCTGGGTATTCACCTTGCCTCAATTTCCAGTCCTGGACAGATGGAGTTGGGACAGAGTGCATGAGACCAGAAGGTGGCTGCTGATGTCTAACTATTCATATACACAGCTTTTCATAAATTCTCCACCAAAATGTGAAAAGGCAAAACAACCTATTAAATACTGAGTGTACTTCTTCCTTTTGGCATTTCCTGAGTGGTTTATATCAGAATAATAAAAAAGTGATGCTCTTAGTGATGATTTCAATTTCCTTTCATGAATAGAAGGACTCAAATCTTGAGCTTTGGTAGTCTTTAATTTTCAAGTGTGCTGAACCATGGCATTTTGCATAAAAGAAACATTTAAGAGCAGAAAAGGGGGTGGGAAAATATCACCTAAGGTAAAGCAAACTACATCTGTTATTTCTCATGTATTTCTGTTGTGGTCATTCTCATTCTGAACATTTATTGGCTGCCCCTTCTGTATAAAATTTAGGATTTCAGCTAATAAGAAGTCCAGTTCTATAACATGTCTGTTTTGGTAGATATTAAAATGAGTAACATTATTCAAGATATTTACCAAAATAGTCCTGCTGGCTCCAGATATCATTAAATTCTTACAGTACCTGACAGGCACATTGAATTTCTGGCTACCTTTAAATCATAGATATTCTTATGTAAATGACCTTTTTGTTTTTGACAAGGTGATAAACATTTTTCTGTCTCATTGCAGTCATTCCATCCTCAGCAACCACATTCACTTGCAGGTAGTCATGCACAGTTCTAGAAAGTCACTGACAGAAGAGACCCATGTGCAGAATTGCAGTGCAGAAATGTCAGTTTTTAGGACAACATATCCAGAGTATGAAAAAGTAACTCTCTCCTCCATTCATGACTGATAGATTACTTGAATAAGCTAAAAAAGGACTGGCTCTCTTAAGTATCTGTGAAAATACCTTTGGATTTCTGGATATGATGGCAAAACTCTTGACAGTGTTACTGGTT